TAATATGAAACTTTTGAAATGTACACTTATGTTTACAGTCAAAATAATTAATATAATCAATGAGTAATCAGTAAGTTGGTAACGTCCAGCTGCGACTTTATTACCTTATTTTTAAGATTTCGTTCATATTTTGAATGTATTCAGAATAATATTTTATTCAGAAATAATATTTTATGTAATTTGTTACAGGCGGACTCTTAAGCAGTCTATCGAAAATTCCAATATTAAAAACCGACTAGCTGAAACTCAAAAAGCTAACGAAGCTCTCAAGCGAATGTTATCACACATGCCAACAGTGGAAGTTAAACATAAGCTCGTAGTTCAACAGGTACGAATTAAAAATATGAGACTAATTGAATCTAATGATTTTATTCCTTAGCGTATAAACCGTCAAATGGCTAAAAAACTCAAAACTCTAGCGGCGGAGCGATCGCTTGATGAAATTGAATTAAATGTGCGTCAATGTACTATAAAAAAATTTGCAGAACAGATAAATTGTATGCGCGAATTAGCAGTCACATATTCTGCAAATAGAAGTGTTACTAAAAATAATAAAAATGAAGATGTTAAAATTATATCAGTGGATCAACAGAAGTTCATAGAATGTGCTCCATATTCAGACGTTGATTCTAATGTCTCATTAATGTGCGATAAAACATAAAAAAGAGATGTACAAAAATATTCCATATTATACCATTAACTATTAAAAAATCTAAAGATATTTCATTTTTATTTTGTATATTGGGTAATCCGGTTATATTAGGTTTGGGAAAACATATGTATCAGGTAAAAAAAAAGTCTATTACATATATTGTAAGTCATAAAAGCATCAGATTCCAAAATCTCTTTCGTGAAAAGTCACTTTTAGTTTTAATGACTCGCAGCGCAATTAAACGCAACTGAATCGAAGAGCATACTTTGAACAGAGAAATGCCTACGTAAGCGATGCCTGTTTTCAGCATTACATTTGAGTTAGTGGTTTCTAGCTTTTTATACCCTGAACCCATTTTCAATGGGAAATCAGGGTATAATGATTTTGTTGAAATGTATATAACAGGCAGAAGGAGGCGTGGCAGACCCCACAAAAGATATATATTCTTGATCAGGGCGACGAGCTGAGTTGATTTGGCCCTGTCCGTCTGTCTGTCTGTCCGTCCGTCCGTCTGTCCGTCTGTCCCTATGTTTGAACGCGTTGATTTCCAAAGATATAAGAGCTAGAGACTTGAATTTTTTTTTAATGACCGTATATACAGCGCGGA